GCTTAGTAAGATATTTTCAGTATCTGCAAAAAGAAACAGAAAGGACTGTGCAATTTCCCACAACCCCAACATCCTGAGTTGAATGAAATCAAGTGAGGGTCGCTCCTTCAAAGCCATAGAGAGCTGGGGGGAAACCTCTGCTTCATCTCCGTTCTCTTTGATGTAGCTGCTTCATTTAAAAGCGTCTTAGTTGACATGCTAATAAAATTTGACCTCTTAAGCTTAAAAGAGAGTTGTTTTTTCCTTTTTGACATAGCTTGCTATGAGGAAACGTCCCAGGCAGGCCCATTCAAAGCTGCATCCGATCCATCTGATCTGTTGTGCCCTGACTACCATGCTTTCTGCCTGGCAGACACAGCCTGGTCTCCTTCGGACAAAATGATGCTTGAGGATCAAAGAAATGTCCCTTATTGATAAGGGTGGGAATATTTTTCTAAGCATCATTGACTCTCACACTTGTCTGCATATGTACTCTGTAGGTTAAAATTCCCTTGGCAGAGCTCCAAGCACCTCCCAAGGGTTCAGACAGTTGCTCTCCACTTGGCTTTCTCCAGGGAAAACTCCTACATCCCCCTGAGGAAGCTTTCCAAGCATGCCTTTCCCACGAGAGGGACCCGTTGCATTTCGGAGACACTGGATTGGATTGCTTTTTTAAGAAAAGGCACTTTCCTAACCCCCCTGCCTAGAGCTAGCGTAGCTTGCTCCGCACTGAACAGCCAGTACACAGATCATACTCCCTCTTCCAAAGGGCCTGGATGGGCAGCAAGTTCATGACCTTGACACTGGAAGTACATTCATTAGCATCAGAATGAAATTGTTTGGATAGGTACTGCCTGTGTCAGAAATGCTGGTCCATGGTCCGTACGTGCCGCAGCACTAGGTAGGCTCAGAGACATTTGGGAACCATAACAAGCGGAAAGTATTTTTTCTCAAACATCAGCACAGGTTCTGAAGATGAAGAAAGCAACAAGAAGGAAGCGCCTGTAGCCCACAGTGCTTCCTGCAGAATGAATTCTAGCAGAAGGAATAATTTTGGAGATAGTCTCTCTCAATCTCGCAGCCCTACAGGTAAAACAAAACACATCCACAACTTCCTTATTAACATTTTTGTATTCACCACTGATATTCTATAGAAATTCTAGGAAAGCTTACCCCTCTTAAACCCTGGAGTCATTTGTAAAAGTTTGTTCTTTGAGGGGTCAGCCTGTGAGTCTCTCTCCTTGTTTCCTTCCTGTGTGCTCTCTTTCCTCTGTTGCCATTCCTTTGCTCTGCTGCTTTGGTATTTCTTTATTCCTTTGGTATTTCTCTATTCTTGCTACAAGCAGCTTAGGACAGGCAGAAGAATGGGGAAAGGGAATGGAGCGACTGGCTGTCAAGATGTGAACTTTGAATATTGCTAACCTGGGTTTTATTCCCTGTTTCACCACTCCCAGTGCAAATTTCTCTCAACCTTAATTTCCATCCATAAAAAGGGTAATTCTTACCTAATATATGTTAATCTATGTAACCTCCTAGCACAGTGTAAGGCGTCATGATATTTAAATGTAAAATATATAAACATCAACAGAGCTGTCTTCTTGCCTACCCTTTTGCCTTGAGGTAGGGCAAACTAAACTGCAGTTAGAAAACGTTTGATGAATTTTTAATAGCAGAGCTGCATAAAGTTGCAGAACCTTCCTAAGCACATCCTGTCTGGTGCTTATCTGCTCAAGATGTTTTACGCATCTTGAACTGTGTGGTTGATTTTTCATTCAGGAGTAGCTCAGCCCAAGCTGCAACTAGCAAGAGGTGTGAAAGACAGCATGAAAGGCTTCTGTAAGGACATCAGCAGCAAAAAGGAAAGGGAAAGAAAGAAAAAGGAAAGTCTGCCGCTCAACATGGCCTGGGGCCTAGTGATGAAAGCCACGAGAAAGGCCAAGGTACCCAGTACCTTTTTTCTCTTTTCACAGTTTTGGGCTCCCCCATACAGTAAGACAATGATCTACTGGAGCAAGCCCAGCAGAAGATCATCAAGATGATTAGGGGGTGTAAGTACACAACGCACAAGGAGAGGCTGAGAGCCGAGTGTGCTTGGCCTTAAGAACAGAAGGTCTCACTGCTGTCTACGACTGCCTACAGGGAGGGTAGAAAGAAGAGCCAGGCTCTTCTTGGAGGTACATGGGGATGAAATTACAGTCAACAGCCACTTATGGAACAATGGACATTCTGATTAGATATGATGATGGTTAATTTATCACCTTGAGGGTAGCAAAATACAGAAACAAAATGCCCACAGAGGTTGTGGTATCTTCATCCTTCAAGATACCAAAAACTTGACTGGACCTCCAGAGGTCTCTTCCAGCTGCACATCTACAAATCAGTTCTACGATACTACTTAATGACTCACAGCAAAGAAAGCTGCAGGCCAACGAGTGGAGATCACATCTCCCTGTCTTGCAGCAGATCCCTAACTGATGGAATGTCTCTGCTACTACAAACTTGTTCTGTATTTGCCTTTAAATAACTGCTGTATCAGGACAGACTTTCTACAAAGAACACAAGCTTGTTTATGGACCTAATGCTTCTGCAAGCAACTGAACAACAACAGGAAAGTTATTTGTTTTTTCCCTGAGTACAGGAGACTGGATCAAATAGACACTTAAGTATTATAATCTTCCACTAAAGGAAAAGCATGTTCGTAACAGCAATCTAGTATCAGCATACTTCATGAAACCCTTTCTCTATCACTAATCACACACACAGTAACATCTGTGCAAGCCAGTTGGCTCTGGACAGCTCCTGTGGTTCTTGAAGGACTATTTCTTGGCAGGTTCTGTTTTTCACTCTAACTGAAAGGTTAATCAAATCAGTCATACTTGTATGTTGGCTAAATAAACACGCTGTCTCCACTGATGATGAAACAGATGCATTACCACTCACATTTCCCATGGGGTTCATTTGTTCCATGATTGCATTCGGTTTTCTTCAAGCTCCTCTATGCACTATCTGACAGCACGTTGGATAGTTTTCATAAGGAAATTTACCTTTCAGATGCTATTGCATTCACACGTCTCTAAACTCAAGTAGTCTTTGGCAAAGGTGTTTGTTACATATCCTCAACACTGCTTGGTTGTGGAATGTCTCTAAACTCGAGTAGTCTTTGGCAAAGGTGTTACATATCCTCAACACTGCTTGGTTGTGGAAAACGTGGAAGAAGATAATCCTAAAAAAGGTGAGAACTCTTACTGAGGCATAAATGCATTGTCGAGTCTAGCAGCTTTTGTTGCTGAGGCAGAACCTGCTAAGACATTCAAACCTGGTTTCCCTCTCTCCCTCTCCTCCCCCGGTGCTAAGCTTCATCCTGCAGAAAGCTGTTTTAGCAGGTCTTGTTAGCTTTTAGAACCCAGTCCTGCAAATTCATATGCCTTGTGTTTGATTTCACGCACAGTTAAACAGTGCCGCTAACTCATTACACACGTGTATCTCTTTTTGAAACCAGCGTTTACGTCTGATACGGCAATTCATCATTTGTACGGCATACAGAAGACATGCTGAATGCATGACAGGTAGAAAGTATTTATTCAAGTTAAGAAGTTTTGTGTGTCACAACATTTTCAGAAGTCCAAAAGCTACAACAGCTGATATTTGTTTTAAAGGAGGCAACCAAAAACTTCCTGCAACCTGTTAACTAGTGTAACGAAGTCTCAAGCCATACAGAGATTAATACAGATTTAGATAATTTCAGAATTACACATTCTGAAGTGTATTTGGAAAAAAAAAAAAAGCATACTTTTTTCTCCATTAAAATATAGTATTTATGCAATGCATTACTGAAGTTGTTTCAGGTGGGATTCACCTCACCTATTTTCTGTGTTCTGAAAGATGTAGATAACTAAACTAGTTTGCTAAACTGTTAAGAGATGCGCTCTCTGCAGGGGTCGATAACGAAGTCAGGTTTTAGAGATATTCCCTCCCTCCACTGACAGTAAAGGGAGACGAGACTTCCCAGGTCTACTTGTCTGAACAGTTTAAGTCATTTGCACAACAACTCAACAGCCAATTAACTCCCACTGCAGTCCCTCCTTTTTTTTGTTTTACTATTTTTAAAAGTCAAGGTTGGAAGTTGATGATGTGGTTTTATGCTTTAGGTCTCCACATTAAAGACTTTTTCATAATCTTCCCGCAATGAAGAGGAAACTGCATTATGGAGAGCTGAACATCACACTGAGAAAAATCACATAACTGCCGTTACAAGTAAATGTCATTTGGGGAAAAGTACCATTTTCTCCCACCCCTTATCATAACTTTTTAACCACCAATGCACCTAAAACCAGCTTGAGCCGAAATACAACATCCTCATGTAGTACATTTTGTCACCTTACCAAAAGCTATGCTGATAGAAATTTTACCATTCTTGTTAACATCATGCAGACCCTTATTGCTGACAACAGCAACACCAAGTACAGGAGTAAATCAGGACAGCTGAGGAACCTGGAGCCAGCAACAACAGGCAACAGGCGCAGTACTGACCTCTGTGGGACTTCACTCGCCTTGAGTTACTCCCACTGTGTTCTTACACATTGAATTTGTCATTTGCTTAAGCACTTTGTTGAACTGAGGCATGGGAAGAAAGGCAACAGAAAGAGTGGTCAAGTATCAGGTGGATTAACATTTTAACCATAGCACAAAAGAGATTTGAAATTAGTAATTTCTCTATAGAAAGCTTTGCATAAGATAAAAATAACAGCTTACCTCAGTTTAACAATACTGTATTTGTAAAAACTTCTCTGTAAAACGGTTCTGCATGAAAATACAAAATGTTTGAAAAAAATAGCATGATGAGCTATCGTTTGAAGTATTTTTTTATCTTGTATTTTGAATCGTTCTGTGAATGGTTCACAAGGTGCTATAATACACTTGATGCTGTACAGGTAAGTGAACATCTGCAATCCCCAACCAGAGTTTCATGGCTTGCTGACCAAAGAATAAATGCTTTTAGGATGACTTTTTCATCTACTAGAACCTAAACTGACAAAAACGGTAAAGTCAGATTATTAGAACTGTGTGTGCATTCGGAAATACAACCAAATATACGTTTGGGAGACTGGTTTTTAATATTTATTTAGTAAAACTCACTATACAAACAAAAGTTATCACAACAGCGTAATATGCGGGTTTATAGTTTCTCCTTCCTTCAAGCTGTTTCTTTGTTGCAGTAAAAACACATATATACATTTACAACAATTTCCCTTTAAAGCACTGGAATTTCATATATTAAAACATACCTGGTAAAATAAGCTTAAAATAATTTTACATTGCTTGGAAAAAGATTTGAGTAATTTACTCTTACCAGAGTGCCATTGTTGCACAGTATTCAAAAAAATGAACCACCACTAAAATATAGAGTAAAACATTTAAAAGTACATTTATTTAAAATGTGGGCAAAGTATCAATATAAAAGAAAATAGAGTATAAGAAATAAAAATAAAGTACAAAACATTTTCATCTTCAACATCCATAATTTAATAGATAGCAAGCCCTTTTATTTTTACATCCAAATTACACTTTTGGCTGAAGTACCATCATTTACGTTAAAATGTTTAAAAACGGGCTAATCATGATAGCTAAAGTGGGCTCTTTTAAAATGGTAGTATAATACAAAACATAGTAAATTATGTTTCAGCATAATAAAATTACACATCCTAAAAAAGATGCAGTTTATTTTTGCTTTCCTGCTTTAAACTGCTCATCATCCCTAGGAAAACAGCTGGAAACAGCATCCACAGGAAGTTTTAGTTGCTTTGTACAATGGCTGAACAGCTAGATTTAATGCTCCAAGGATTCCGAAGCAGTAAGGCATTTTACTATCCATCAAGTAAATTTATATGTAAGTTTGTTAAGAAAGAACAACCTTTAAGAAATGACTGCAAAAGAGAACTTACATAAAAAACATGCACAAAGGCATAGAACCCTTACTGGACCCTCCACTGCATTTATCAAACAGGGTTTATAAGCTATTTTCCTCATCTGCAAGTAACCCACAACAAATATTTTCCTTAGTGACAAGTTTTTTTTCCTGTTGCTTAGTATCCTTCTACTGTTACTTTCTGACAGCCCTGCCTCCCACCTCCACTGCAGTATCTCCTATCAAAAAGTAATACCACTTTGAATTTAAGCTAGGTTTCTGGGAGTTAAACTACCCTCCTATCAAGTAAACATCACAAATCCTAAAAAATTACAAGTAATTAGTTCCTAATTAAGAAAAATTTGTAGTAAACCATTACTTCCCAAAGCAGCAGACAGCCTTTACACAAAAAGGATATGATTCATAATCCAGTGTTTGAGTAAGTACCCCAGTCAGGACAAACTCAGCATTGTGGACATCTGAAAATACCAAAAACATGCATACAGTTTACACCCTACAAGGACATTCTTCCTCATTCTGCGCGTGCCTCAGGAGGGGCCAACTCTGTACCTTTCTGCGCTTCACACAAAGGCGTACGGGAGCATTGCCCCACTACCAGAGCCCTACTGTTACCCATCACACACTTCACACCACAAATACTAGACTTCCCTGTGCACGTCTTTGTTAATACATACAGCGTGTCTTGGGGTTCTACACTGAAGTAAAAATAGCTAAAGTGAAAACCCCCAAATCTTTAACTAGCTTGATGAATACTGAGACAGTAATCTTGCCTCATGCAGGACTGAAGCCCCCAGTTCAAGCCCACCCTTCCAGAGATTGACGGTGACCTGGCTATAAAATACCTCTACTAGAAATACCTAGCAAACAGCTGGCTCAGATTTCCCCATGGTTTGCAGGATAGACCATGTATTCTCTCTCTATTACTACCTGAAAGCTTCACAAGAGGTCTGTACTTGTAAAATAATAATTAAAAAAAAGTCAAAATAACAGCTATACTGTTCAAATTACATCGATGGCTTATACATACCTATGCCTCTTGCAAAATATTCTCGACATAAATGAAGGTCATTTTCACAGGAAATCAGGATTATCTCCGGCAAACTCTAAACAAAAGAAACTAATCGTAAGCTCAGAGGAACACAGTAAAACATTACCAGTAAATTTTAGAAAGCAACACTCTACACACTTTATTCTGCTTATGCTCCATGAGTTTTCGAAAAGAAGGCTGTTTAGATAATACTTTTCCTCCTGCACATTCCACGATAGCTTTCATGGTGGAAAGACTGGGACAAATTCCAGGTGTAATGTAAAAGTATTTCCCCTAAAAAGAGAAAAGAAAGAATAAGAAAAAATACTAGTTTTTTAACTGATTTCTGCAATGCACTAAGTTTTATTTCGTGTGACTCTTACACAATCATGGGGCAGGCTTTGTACGCTGGTGTTAGATATCACAGCTTATGGTAACAAATTCATTAGCTGATGAGTTGTCTTTAATTACCACTGAAGTTTTCCCTGGAGAGGCAAACCCACAATTTTGATAAATCTGAACAGCTTAGTTCTGCCTATTTCAACACCTGTAAAATAACAACCAGGAAGCCTTCAAATGACCACTGGTTAAACTATGATTCGGAAAAAAAAAGTAACTGCAGCTTGGTAAGGCATATAAGAACAACAATGTTCCTTGTTTCTTCAAGCACAGGGACGTCTCAAGTGTTGCAAAAGAACTTTCAGCTTTTAATTAATAGCCAATTTATTATTTCCTGACAAAAATGATCCTACTGCTTGACTGAGACTGATGCAGGTGATCAGATCACAAAGTAGATTATCTCTGGTTATCAGTTAGGAATAAAAAAACCCTTGCTATTTAGACCTCAAAACTCAGTGAAATGTAGCATTTAGACTTAATAAAGACATAGATTCTTATGCATTACAGGCTGTAAAAATACCCTTTTTAGGTGGTTTCCCTCAATAAAGGGTGTCAAATTCAGTTAGGCTGAAGAATCTCTAGCGACTTGGATCTTCAGATCCTCTCTGCACTGTAACATAATTTTAACCGGAAGCATGAAAACCAACTTGCACCATCCTCACAACCAGCCGGGTGGTAAGTGCAGTCCTTCAAGGCGAATCAGACTAGAACCTACTGAGGCCGAAGTGCAAACTCGCTCTCAGACTCTCATTTTTATGGGCAAGTGCTTTGACTACCAGGCTGGTGTTAAAAAAAAAAAGTCCCTTCCGTAAGTGGCATTTTTCAAATAACAGAGCAACATTCTGAATGTTATAAGGAAACAAATACTGTTAAGTGTACGGAGTATATACTGAGCATGTTTTGTTCACATCTGCGGGATCCAGTCTCTCAGAGGGCTTAGATCCATTCCAGCAACGCTTAGGCAGGAAGCAGGCATAAAGTAAAAAATAAAATTTATAATAAATGCTTCATGTTATATGCTAGTCTGTTTTATTGCCCTCGGCTACAAAAGCTGTGATCCCAATGCTGAAAAAATTAGGTTGAAAAGCTCCAAGTATTTAAATTCCCTTTTAAACTCCATACCTTGAACAGCGGAGCCACTTGTGCTCTCTTTAGAGACTCCTCTAAACTGAAGCAGAACAGCACCTCAGCTTCAGCATCTCTGAGCACAAAGTTCTGCTCATCTGAAAAAGACAGACCGATAACGGAACACACATAAGACAAAAACATCCACATAACCCAGGATCTAATCTGATCAGAAAATGTAAAGTACTTCAAGTCCTATATCAAAACAGTTGTCCGAATCTAAATCCCCAAGTCTTCTTTACCTTCTAATAGCTTTCAAATGGATCGATTTCTCAGTTCACTGATGCTGAACCAAGCAAGTTGCACCCTCCAGATTTAGAAAAATATTTGCTGGTTTATTGGTTACTTATGTATAGATTTAAGTCTTTGTGATGGTTATACAGCAATGCCATATATTTGCTCCTTACAAACAAGTTACATAAAAAGTACAAAACAATCATAAAACAAATAAACAGCCTTTAAGAAGATTTTCTTCAAATCCAACATCCTTGTCAAAGAGACCAAAACCATCTATTTTGTCATTTTCAGCTGTCCACAGAAAAGCAGTGTAAATACAAGGTTGGTATCTTCCAACATAGTTATGGTACTAAACTAATTAACTTTAATTATTTAAATGCATTTTTGTATGTATTTCCAACAGCACCTTAGTGCTTTACAACTTATATTTTAGAAAAATTATTGAAACCAAAATCATTTGGAGCTTAAAAGGTAATGTAACAACAAGTAAAAACCTGCAACTGTCTATATGAGAAGGAAATACAACGCTTAACAACATCCAACCATTTAATCACCCTAGAGCAAAACTTTTTTTTTTTACTTCATTTAATGCAAAGAAACTGTATTAAATCAGATGAAAACTAGATGAAACAAAATGTCCTGTTGAAAGAGAACTTAAAAAAATAGTAACATTTCTTCTTATGACAGCTTATTTAATGATACCAACACAACCTTCTACCTCAAGTGAAATACAAACTAGCTGCTAGTATAATTGTTTAAACATAACATGAATTATGAACTATGCTAGTCAGATTTGCTGTAGACTTAAAACCTCTACTTTCAAAACTGAACTCTTTAGAAAACTGGCACGAGACATGAAGTAAGAAGTCAAAACAATGAAGCGTATTTAAATATGCATGTCATCTTCACATACTTTAATCAACAAACCTTATGTTTACTACAGAAGTTGATACTAGTTTAACTTACCAACAAACTTCTGACATTTGAAACACTCTTCCAACCACTCTGGAGTTACTATGTGCTTGACTACAGAAATTGCTGTCAGGAACTTGACAGTTCGGGTCACTTTACTGGCAATGAGATGGGTGCACTTCTGGGCAGATTCTGCTACTTCACCTCCAAGGATATACAGTTTCTGAAAGTTGTAGAAAACACAAATCAGAATGGAATAGTCCTTTAAAAATGGGAGAAAAAAAATGAATCATCGTAGCATCACTATCAAATAAAACTAAGCTCCTAGTGAAACAGTAGGCATGGGAGATTTCTGTATTACAGTCATTCCTGAATCTGATTCATTTTGACAGAATTTACAGCCATTGAAAATCCAGATATTTCCGGACATAAATTTCATCTGGCAAGACTGAAAGCTACATTCTGCTTCTGCAGTTTTTTGCTTTTGGGATGTGGGTTTTTTAAGTAAGGAAATAAGTGTAAGATACAAATTAAATCTTTTTTTTAAGTGAAACATGCTATTAAATTTAAGTAAGCAGAAAATTTAATAATTTTGCTCTTTTCTACGGAAGGTATAATATACACTGTAGCTACAGTAAACAATTTTGCTAGTCTTTTCTTCAAAGAGAAAAGCACCTCATGAAAAACATGTATTCTTCAAATGCACTAGTTCCACATGTATTTTTCATGATACTGAGCAACTATCCTTTTTTCCCTTGGTTTAAACTACCACGCCTGAACTAACTCATCATGGTTAGTATCCTGTCAGTTAAGATACAAAACATTATCTGAAGGGATTAGTAATACAACTCATCAACTGGTGAGGCATATCAAATTACTATAGGTGTTAGTAACAAATAAAGAGTGCTTCCTCCCATAAAAATTTAAGGGATGAAAAAATATTTGGACAACTTTAGTATCCATGCACCATGGATTTCTGATTTTCTTTCATGAGCATTTTGTACAGACAAATAAAAAACTCGCCAAAATGTTTAAGTATAAATTTTGAACATACTAGGGTGATTTTATTACATCAGTCATCAGGAATGATGAATGCAGGAAGACCTACTGGGTGTATTAGGAACCCTAAAAGATCTCTTGCATCCCTCTGTACTCTACTGCTCCGGTAACAAGGAACAAGTAGGATAGACAGGGACAATGTTTTAAACTTTTCTTTACTGTGCTGGGCTTGCTTTGATGGTTTGCATAGAGATGATACACAAAAGTATTATTCATTGACACTGAACCTCTCTAGGATTTACTTCCTTCAGGGTATGTATAAACACACTGTGACAGTACACTTGTACACCTATGAAAGGCAAAGGCTGTTGTTTTTGTAGTTAAAACATGTCCACCTCAAACACTGTATACTTATGAGTGCAGATCTTGCAAGATTGCCATTCTGATGTTCAAGGAAGCCTTTGGGCATAGAGGAAAAAAAGACTACCCCTCAGTCTCAAGGATACAGGAAGTATCCAGCCTTGGCTAGGTATCCAAATTCTGAAAGGTCTTGATGGTATCATTGCTGCCTGATTTAGATTCAACTTCACAAGCCTTCAGGCCAAAGTTCCTTTTTTGTATTTGTGAGCCATAGTTGTTACCAAAACAAGATTCCCTGTATAATTAACATGGTACCAACATGACAGAAAGTGAGGAGCTAACAATGGATCTTTATGGGATATACTAAAAAATATTTTATGTTCCAAAATATTTAATATCAAGCTTCAAATGCAAACACTGCAAGAGAAAAAAAACTCCAAAGTCCAACTACTTTAAGAACAAGTTTAGGTATAAGAAAGAAGATATTAGACATTTTTGAGTACACCAAAGAGACGCATATTTCTAAGAAATGTAGCAGACTCAAACTAGGCCTCATTTACTTTTGACTACCTGGAGCTGGCAGCAGTGGCAGTATCTTTCATGCACTGCTGAGTTCAGCAGTTAAAAAAACCCCTGTGCCTCAAACCTCAGCCAACATGTGAAAAATAACATAAATGAAAAGTTCTTTCGGAACACATATTTAGTAATTATTAAGGTTCAGGGAATGACTGGATACCATTAAAAGAATGTTATCAATTATCTAGAGTTAAGTTTTGGTACAGCTTTATTAGGGAACAGAACAAAATCTCCATGGGAACTTCTTATCTCACACCTGCCGTAAGCTTTGTCATCAGCTTCCTTTGAAGCGTTTTGCATTACAGATAGCAACTACACTAGAAGAATCTTGGGTCCTATCCAGTACAACCATCAATACTTTTCTCACCAAAAACTGGTCATGAAGTTTGCTGACTTAAAAACAAACGTGGAAAGGGCCTTCTTGCTTTTTAAAGCTATCATATGGAAAGAAAAAACAAGTAGCACAGATGTATGAAGTAGTTAACTAAAGCAGAACAGTTACCAAATAAAACTTGTTTCACATAAATCTACACACTAACCTCAGCCCCAATGAGTTTTTTATCCACTAGATGTATGGTAATCAAGTCTTAGATGGCAAAAATTCAACATCAAGAATAAAGTTACCAGACATTTCAATGTAGTTCACAAGAGATAAGCATGAAAGTCACCTTAATGTACTGCTGAACTTGCATAGGTTCAAATCCTGTGAAGAGCACCATCGGCGTCAATTCTGGGGTGAGCTTTTTAGTAGGTGGTGGTAGGTCTTCAATCCTACAAAATACATGAAATACAGCAGAGTGTAAAGTTCGGGCGCAAAGTTGTATTATTATTATTTTAAAACTAGACCAGCACACTCTTGCAACTTTTACCAATGGAAGTACTCAGATGAATGAGAATCAGGCAGGATCAATCTTCTTCTGAAGAAAAAATTTCTGTGCTGAGAATTGGACATATTCTTCTGTTTCTGTTCTCTCCCAATTCTCCTACTACCTCACACTATAGTTATTTTTTTCCTAACAGCTGAGTAGCTGGTGATAGGCAAAAAACATTGCTAGCTATTTCAATTCACAGGGCACAGGATGGAACTTTTTCTGTAGAAAAGTGAATTAAGGACTACCGGCACCGATTGCTCGCTATTCTTACCTTGCTCTTTTGGAAGATGGCTGAAGACTGGATTCATTTTGCTTTGGTTTCAAAGGCAACCTCACACCCTGAAATTAGATCATCTACATGTTTATAACTCAACTGAGCAGGGAAACCAACTTCTGTTCTGAAAGATGAAAACTATACACAGATATTCTGAGACTGTATTAAAGAACATTAAACACAAATGAAAAAGACATGCTACTGAATGCATACTGGCATACCTATTGTTTACACAACTGACTTGAGCAAAGTTGAGCACTGACCAAAGTTTTTCCATAAAGTGATGTAATCATTTATGTGAACACCAAATAAAATATTGCGGGGCTTTTTTTCCTTTAAATAAAGTTGATAATCATCAATGGAAATCCCAAATAATTAAATGACAAAGAGACTGAAAAACATGTCCATTTGTTAAATACATGAAGACTACAATATTCTTCCAGGTGCTTAAATATCAACAGAAGACTGGCACCTGTGTTTTAAACACTCAAGTTCCCTGGCTACATAAGCAGAAGCTCCAGTGGATACTCCAGTACGCACTAGATAGGCACTCTTGCCTCCCCAGTACTAAATCATCCACTAGAGCATTTGCCCAGGAGCAGGTAAATGTAACTTTTAGTCTCTCCCTGGCCCGAGTAACTTGAAACCACAGCTCTCACTTGCAGGAGCCTGTGACATCTATCCCTTTTTAACATTTAAATATACACCCGAAATACAATGAGAAATGCTAGAGTCACGTGACCAGAAAGACAGGCAGCATTAGTCCAGCCTTGCTGTGAGGCTTTGGGAGGAACAGGCCACAGGGGTTTGTTCCCTGCTCTCAGGAGCATGCGTTTTTATACCAGACAATCACTAGTAAGAGCAGCTGGAAAGAAAAGCTCATGCAGTTGCTTTTTGATAGGCATTTCAACTATGAAAATGCAAAAGGTAGATGGCATCAACGCTGTCTGACAGCTGTCCTCAAAAGAGGACCCCATACTTGAAATCTCAAGACAAACATAAATGCCTACTGTGAAGGCAGTGAAGTACTTTGTCTGACACTTCCACGTGCCCAACATTTTCTATTACCAGATCATATATGGGCATCTCAAGGGGAACTGGACAAGATTCCCTCCAGAAGTCCCTTTCGATCTAGGTTACAAGATTCTCACTTCACACGGACGAGAAGTGCCCCCATATATTAAATACCAAGAGGGAGGTACTAAATTAGGCTTTCTGACCCCTAAGTTCTCTCCATTTGCTGCATAAGACAAAACCTGGCCTGACTGAATCACACAAAAGGCGGCACATGACCAATTTTAAGACAAGCTCAACTGCAACGTGTATACAACGGGTGGTGGTAACAAACCCAAAACTGAGATAGTTAAAAGCTATTTTAAATACTAATAGTGCATACTGAATCTCTCCAAGGATTTTTTATTTTGCCACTAGTAGAATGCATCCTTCTTCAGGAAAATCTGAAGTATGCAAATTTTTAAAGGCAGTTAATTTCCTAAAAATTAGTTTCTTTCCTACAGGCCCACAAAACAATTCCGCAGGGGTCTCTAAGTAGAACATTTCAAACTTATGGCCAGGGATATAGTAGTGGCCATTTCTGTAGTACAAATTAAGTTATGACAGTTACTAAGCTCCTCTTTTCTGAAGAGTGTACAAAAAAACTGAGATAAGAAGTGATCCAGAACACAACACTTATGGCAAAGCACTTTTGTGCAGTGTAAAATGCTATCTAACAGTTATCTGTTGTACAAATGAAGTGAAAGCTCACTAGCCCAAACTGGGATTTACCTACGTTAAGACAGACACTGTGAAAAGAGTTATCAAGTATAAATCTGAAATGGGAAGAGAATTTACAATACAAAAACTGAAATAGTTTTCTACATATTCAGAACAAGGGAACAGTTCACAAGGTAAATTGCAGTTTCCACCTCAGCTCTTAGACCTGTCTCAAGTTTTGCATGTTTTGCAGAATACTCTACATGACAAAACCTAAATATTTTGTATTTTTTTTAATGTACATTCTTTGTATCCTTGATGTTCATTTACACTGATGTTATTTCCAGAGCTACCACCTACACTGTTTAAAGCAAGATATATTTTTAAATTGTAGCATATATGGTATATATGTCCATGGTTTTAGTTCTTAGAATAAAGTAGTTTCACCCTTAATTTACATTATCCCATTCAAAGTTCAGTCAATAGTCTAACAAAATCCTTACTGATTTTTGGTGCTCTGCCTTAAAAACCCATACGTGGCCTGATTTTCAGATAGTGTTAGGTACTGACTCAAAAAAATACTAAGTTCTTTCTAAAGGTCTGATGTAAAAACTGAAGAGTGAAGCACTAGCCCAAGATGTCTCAAAAATAACTTGATTTTGTGTATCACAGTGCAGGTTCTTAGTCTTGCAAAGGATTATTTCTCAAAATAAAATAGAGACAAGACTAGCAGAAAGTACAGCCAGGACATTCAGTACAGGTCTGTGTAAGTCCCTCTGGCATGTTGCTCACACCATATACGCATGTGCTCACACACGAAAAACACTGAAGAGTAATCTTATAAAAACAGCTTTATATATACACCATTCAACATACCATTACAAGTTCTGGTGATACCTTTAATGGGACCCTCCAAGCATCTAGGAAATGAAGAACAAACCAAAAATGAAACCATTGCAAAGTTATTTATAACAGAAGATACATGCTTCTATTGATTAAGCAGGTACATGTACAAATGCTACAGAACACAGGAATTTGGGACTGAAACTCTTACCCAGAAGGTTTAGAACTAGATGTTGACTAGGAGAAAGTGGATCTTGAAGACTAAATACTGTATAGCGACTGTGCTGTATCTGCCGTAAAGCTTCAAAATTTCCTAGCAGGATGTCACAGAGCCACTGCGCGTTCACACAGGGTATTCTCCACTCCTTAGCTTTCTCATACTTCAAACCACTGGGCCTTAATGTTCAGAGATGAAAAAAAAAAAAAAAATTGTATTTCAGTAAAAGATGTAAAATAGCAATTTCTAATACACCTAAAATGCCAGTATTTCTGTGTTAGCCTATTATCTATTTTAACTGTGACAAAGTAGCTACTCTGAAAAAGTACTTTTGCTTTACATGCTAGAACAAGTCAATTAGGGGAGTATTTCTGCCCCAAATGCAATCAAGTTAGATCAGGATTTAACTCCCCCAATGCTTTCAAACAATTATAAAAAAAAAAAAATTACTCAGAGATGATGTAACAGTCAGCATCACTTATAAAATATTGTAAAACAGTGAAATTAGGAATTGCTTTTCTTTTGCCTGTCTTCGGAAGGCCAAGTTTAACATGTAACAGTATGCAGTAATTTCTTTTAAAAAACATCATCACTAAGTTTACAGCTATCAAATCGCAAAATTGATTAAAATTAACATTCTTATAATGAGATGTAATTAGCACCTCATGCTAAGAAAAGCACAAACTGGCAACAGGCAACCGAGAACATGAGAGAACTGAGAACGTGCAGAGATAAACCACTTACTCTTTACAGATGAGAACTGTATTGCTGCGACACAGATAGCCTGTGTATTTGGCACCTGCTAGGTAGGCCATTAGTTTGAGGTCATCTCTGTCACTATCAACAAATCCCGTCACAGAGATTATCTACGGATAGAACCAGACAGTTACAAATAACTGAACGTAGATGGTGCTTACAAAACCCTCCTGTTGAAAATACTTTTCTGTTACTAACTTTTTTAAATTACAATGAAATACACAGTATCATAACTATGACATACAAGCACTTAATTAAAACATGGCTTGTACAATTTAAAGGTGATTTTTTTAATATATAAACTTTTCAGGTTTCCAGCACTAGTTCTGACTGAGGAAGCATCGTTTTCATTCTGTTGGTCAGCTTTTTCTCACTTACAAAGACTACAGTTTTACTATGAAAGAGCTCACAGCTAGTTTTCTTCTCACACATCCACCTCTTTCTTCTGCTGCTCTTTACATCCAGGGAGGCAAAGAAATGCTTATACTTACTTGCCCTACTCTTCTTTTAAAAATCTCCTGAATGCTCTGTTCTACCCTACCACGAAGGCAAATAAACTGTGCCAGCTGATTATGGGTGGTGAACTGTAATTCCACCTCTCCTGTTCTTATCCATAGTCTTGTCAAGTTTTCATTTTTGCCATTCTCTCCTTTTATTTAGGAAAAAGCATCAGCAATTTTATTGTCAATAATAAACTACATTTATTACATTACATAATACATTTCCTACAAACCACTGTGTTCACATGTATAGTGTCACATTCTCACTTTCCCAAACCTGTATTTCTTTTTATGCCTTTTAGGACAGGCTAGTAGCAAGGCCGTCATCCTGTTTGTCTACATCCAGCACAAAGAAATCCAATGCCAAGACATACTTTGGCATCTTGTTTTATGTTGCACGGTGTATTTCAAGATGCATCCGATTCAACTGCAAGTTCACATTTTAACCCCACAGAATTCAACTTCCCCAGTGCTCCTCGTTGTACAGGCTACTGGGACTGTGACCTCCTATCCTCTGATTAACAGCACAGGCTTCCTTTACTGGTATTTGCTAAGTATTTACCCAGAAAAAAGAAAAACCCTCAAAAATCCCCTCAAAGTATGGCATTATGGTAAAGGAAGCATATACTGTTAGACGTGCTGTTAGTAAAAAACCACACAGCTTGGATTCCTGTCACCTTGATATGTAGAACTCATGTAATCTTTGCACTTCAGTTTCTAAGAGAATAATTCACAAACACAGGCGTTACTCCTCACCACTCAGAACTCAGTAAGACTTGCAGAGCACACGGAAACATCCAGTAGTATGCACCACATCAACAACAGGACCTTAAGATTAACAGAAGCTTTTCTTCCAAGACAAAAGAAATGTGCATTTTGCCTTGAGTAAGCACTTTCTAGCTACATTTTAATACTGCTCAGGTAATGAGCCAAGGATTTGTTAGAAGTAAGCTTTTTCTTCTTACATGTTGAGAGCATGGCTTTCCTCCTGGTGGAAATGCCACTGGAAAATGAAGGGCTCGATGAGGTGGTACCATTTTCTTCTTCTTCAAGATTGAGTTCAGCCAATGTGCTGTAATACATCTCTTCCTTTCTCTTAAAGCCTATGAATACATGCATGAACAGCTTTTAAAAATCAAAATACATCTTCATTTTATTTTAAACTTTTTACAATACAAAGCTTTGATTTTAATTGTTTGTTTTTCTCTACTTTTATGGGATCCTTTGTCTCACAGGATCTTCCTCAGTGTTCTCTGGAATAAACCTACTACCTGCATTATGAAAGTTTGTTATACCATAAACCACAAATCATAAAAAAACCACATCATGCAAACTTCAGTTTTATACTCACAGTCTAAGCATGAAGTACATACTGAAAAGCCCTACCTTGCCACTACTAAAATGAAAGCATGCCGGAATGCACGTTACTGGTTTGCTTACCTGAGCATACATATTACTGACTTGGCTTTCACAAAGAAGATGTGTACACCTGCTTGTAAGGGTAGGGTCCACTGTCCCACCGTGTGCTTGAATGATCTGGTAAGAGAACAAACCCCAAACTTCTAATATATGTAACAATTTTAAAATTACCCTAAGAAACAAAAAACCAGTTTGAAATTAAAGTCTATGCTTTAGGACACTGCCACCATTAGCACAATTTCACTGAAGAGTTACCCCCCAAAAAAGTTTTGTTATCTAGCTTAAAAACATTTTTGAAGAAAATGGAGAAAATAAAGTTAAATATGCACCTTTTCACTGAGCTACAAAAAGTCTATTTTTTTAGATTCAATTAAAAAAAAAAAAAGATATATAAACAAAAATAACCCTTCTCACATTTTTTATTTTTGCAGTATAACAATGAAACAATTTTTCATGAACTACTCAATTCTATCTCAGCAATAAACACAAGTGCTGTTAAAAATGTCAACAGCTTACTTGATTATGCAAAATTGTAGGTAAAATTCAACTATAAAATCCATCAGAAGTTTCTGAAGAACATCAAAGTCCTCTCATTTAGGAAAGGATACAATCAGATTTTTCTGAAAAATAGAAGTTGGCAAAAAATAGAAACACTCCATTCCTCCATCTTATTCACTCAGGTGGATACCTCACAGGCTACTAAATGCCAAAATTAAATGCAAAAAAGTGTCTTTTTATACAATCGAGTTAAAGATAGAGAGCAAAACAATATTACATTTGCTGCACTACAGCTGTCTGATTAATAGCATAAAAAGTCGGGCAATAGTTAAGGCTGTAACTCATTTAGCCAATGTTCTCACTAAAGACCTAATTCAACCAGGCAGCACATTTAAAGCTTTTTTTTTTTTTTTACTTTTTCTGGTCAGCTGCAGTTGAATAATGGTTTTTAGGTTGTAGCACAAAGATTACACAAAAGGATGCCTGAAGAAAAGCGAACAGTGCCAAAAGACTTCCAATCATTCCTTTTAGGATTTAGTTACTCTGACATTATGTTATAGTTTTTTAAAAATACAGCAGAATCTTACCCGTTTCCAGGTCGCTAAGAGCTGTTTGTCAGACATCTGTTCTGGGTAATCAGCAATTGCAAAGACACAGCCCAGCAGAAAATACTCTTCTGGAACTGGAATAGTTTGGCACATAAAAGAACAAGAAATTAAATACTTACAAGTCTGAAGAGTTCATCTCAGAACTTATTTGCTACACTAATCTGTCCTATTACCAGGTTATAAACTTCATTCAATTCTGAAGTACATCTTTCTTGGAAAAAGTAGGATCCAAAATTTCAAAGCTGACAGCCACATCTAGAGGCACAGTTCAGCCAAGGCTTTTTGTTCTGGGTGTTTTTTGTCCTGGAGGAAAGGGGGCTAAAGGGGTAGAAGGAAGGAGCACCAAAAGGAAAACATAAGACAATAACTCACTCTTATATAGATCAGCTATGAAGAGTCAAAGCAATCAAAAAGTTTTCAGTTCTACTAGCATGGGCAGAATTCAAAGCAAGGTACGGCAACTTTCTATCCCATACTGAATCCTCATTAATTGACTAGTATTTCCAAAATTTAAGCTGTCTTTCCAGTTGTTATTCTTATTTGAAAGCTTCCCCTTTCCCCTCTCCCAAAGGAAAAAAAAGTTTAAAAACATATGGTGCGCACAGACTAACACTGTTCTTATAGCACAATTTATATGCTAGTGGCATAAAGAATATATTTGAAAAAAAAAGTTCTCAGTGCTCTCAGGCTTTTCAGATTTCTGGATTATCCTTAGTTATAATTTAAATCCCTTTGCCTAAAAATTAGTAAAACGGGTCCTGAGCCATGAAGGGCATTTCTAAGTCTTACAATCCCATCCTGTAAACACAGCATTATTTTTTGATATTCTAACCCACATTATGTCGTGTCACTAGCCACTTTTTTCCAGGATCAGAAGGCAATAATTACTAACTCTCCGCTGCTGGATCATGGCCAAAAAGCGGCTGCTGTTGCAGTGGTTGCTGTTGCTGCTGGTGGTGTTGCGGCTGCTGGGCTGCAACTTGATGCTGTAGTGCTTGAGATGTCTGAGTTAAGTGTTGCGTTGCCTGATTCTGCATTTGCTGTTGCTGATGTTGTTGGTGTAATCGCTGTAAGTGCTGCTGCTGCAATTGCTGCTGCTGTATTTGCTGCTGCTGATGTTGCAGCTGTTGTTGTTGCAGATTCTGTT